TGTAAGGAAAAAGGTTGTTTAGAGTTCACTAAAGAGATAAACCAGACCCCAATTTGTACTAACAAACTTTTTCTTATCTTCAGATAATCTTCAGCCTCTTCAATTTAGGAATGTTAAAAGCTATTCCTAAATTCCTGTCTGTGTTGTACCTGAACAGAGAAAATAATCAATCTGAAGATTTATCTTTTCAGTTTAGGAATGTTAAAAGCTATCTAACCAATCCATACAACTATCCTATATTCCAATCTGTAATGAACCAACATTATTTTAAAAGAGAGAAAATACATCAAATTAAAATACGAAATACAAAATAACTGTGTTAGTTAACAAATTAAAACATCCATGTCATTTGTCCCTCAGAGCCAGTATAGAACTATCTTCTCAAAATTAGGAATGCAGAAAGCAGATCAGCAGTGGTTCATATTGTCCACAATGATAGATAGGTAGATAGATAGAAAAAGAAAGAGAAAGAGAGAGAAAACCAAAAGATACAAAGAAGATTTCAGTACAGTTATTTTATTTATATATTTCTAAGAATATCATACTTCCAACCAGATCGGTCTTTGTTTATATCTCTTGGCTATCAGAAAAGTTTATGTTAAGAGGAGGAACCCATATAGGGAATCCTCCTTGCATACGGGTGGCTGACCTTGAGGCTGGCAGAATATTTTTTTTTAAGTGATATTACTCTTGAGCTAAGTTGAATCAGGTAGTGAGAAAGCAGCTACCAGTAATGAAGAGAAATAATTGGGGGTGTGATGAGGAGAAAGGGAAACAGCTCAGTGACTTGCTTAGAACAAGATATGGCCTTAGTAAGCGATATCATCCACAAGAACATAGAAGCCCTTTTAGACATGAAAGCACAGAAGATAAGGGGACCTCCAAAGTATAGCCACGGAACTAGTTTCCCCCACCTTGGGATTTGTTTTTTAAGGGGAAAAATGTTACAGACCATCAAACAATTTTTTCCTGCCAGATTTTGATGCCAGAGTTGGCTTCTCTCAGAATTGTAGCTTTGGAAGAAGGTGGGAAGTTTATTGGTCACCGCATTATCCCAGTTACTGCTGTGTGCTCTGGTAAGACTTGATCATTTTTCTGACCTTTGAACTTGACTGTTTCTCTCTCTCTTTTTTTTAACCACAATCTTGGGGTAGCTTCCTATGAATCTTGATGTCCTTCATAGAGTCAGAGGTGAAGGCTGGCTCAATAGCCAGCAATTAACTCAAAGCTGTCTTTGTGCATTCTTCAGAAGCGTAAAATACTAAAGTAGGATCTCTTTGTGAGAACTAGAAAATCTGAAAATCTTTTACAGTATTCATGTCTAATTGATTACGAATAGAAGTAGCTTCACAGTGCTTTAACCCTACTCAGGGCTAAAAGATTTGAAAGTGAGGATACAGAGAACTATAGGAAATGGAGTAATGTGTGCCACCAGAGTTTTTCCTTAATTTTTTCTCCTTATATTTGAAAGAATGCACAAAGAAAGCTCATTCCTTAAGGAATATATATATATGAAGAAATGTTGAAGGACTCCTTTCATTCTCTTGTTATCAGTTCACCGAAGTTTAAGTATTTCATCATGAGTGACATTTGTGACTTCTTTGGTATGAAACTGGTACACAGTTTACAAAAGCAGAAATAATATGATATCGAAGAACCTACAAAGATGCTGTTTTTCTGGGGAGGCTCATTGCATTTCTTATTCTGGCACCCAAATTGCCACCACTATATATTTTCCTACTGGATTCATGCACTTTCTTTTTTAGGTTATCATCATGTTTGCCTTCGTAATGAGAGCAACCGGCCTCTTACAATGCCCTCTCTATTTGTCTATGTGGAGATGAAAGATTATGTTCCTGATTCATGGGCAGGTACAGTATTCTGAAGATGAAAGAGCAGGACACCTATACTTTAGTTGCAGGATTTTAAAAAAGAATAAAAGGTGGCTTTCAATTTGTATTGCCATTAGTCTTGGTTTGCTTCTAGATGCTATTTTTAAGCAGAGGCCTGGTGTATGTATATTGGCCAATTAAAATTATTTACTACACCATCTGGATGAAGGATGTTGAAAAGATTCTCTTAGTAAAATTGTGAAATAACTTGAGTGAGGCATTGGATGAGGTGTTTTTAGGTAGATATGAGTGTCTTAGGCAGCCTTCAGTAAAGATGACAATCTTATAATAACTGTTATCAAAAGTGAATAAGTCTAGAAGATGAAGGAATGGCCTTGAAGAACAGGAGAAAAGGCTACTATAAAGGCAATAATCAGACAAATACAATTTAAATCTGGACCCACGGCTGACACTGGAAGACCAGCTGTCGGCCGTGACCAGGGGGGCGTTCTATCAGGTACGCCTGATTTACCAGTTGTGGCCTTTTCTGGACCGGGACGCCTTACGCACAGTCACCCATGCCCTCGTCACCTCCCGCCTGGACTACTGTAATGCTCTCTACATGGGGCTTCCCTTGAAGAGCACTCGGAGGCTCCAACTGGTCCAGAATGCGGCCGCGCGGGCGGTGTTGGGAGGGACTCGTCGCTCCCATGTAACACCGTTGCTGCGCGAGCTGCACTGGCTGCCGGTGGCTTTCCGGGTGCGCTTCAAGGTGTTGGTTATCACCTTCAAAGCGCTCCATGGCATCGGACCTGGATATCTCCGAGACCGCCTTCTGCCGCAGATTACCTCCCATCGGCCGGTACGCTCCCACAGAGTGGGTCTCCTCAGGGTGCCGTCAGCCAGACAGTGCCGGCTGGCGACTCCCAGGG